CAGAATACATCATCTTCTCAAGTGCTCTTGGAACATTCTCCAGGATAGATCATATCTTGGGTCACAAATCAAGCCTTGGTAAATTTAAGAAAACTGAAATCGTATCAAGTATCTTTTCCAACCACAACACTATGAGACTAGATATCAATTGACGGGAAAAAAAAACTGTAAAAAATACAAACACATGGAGACTAAACAATATGCTACTAAATAACCAAGAGATCACTGAAGAAATCAAAGAGGAAATCAAAAAATACCTAGAAACAAATGAAAAGGAAAACACAACAACCCAAAACCTATGGGATGCAGCAAAAGCAGTTCTAAGAAGGAAGTTTATAGCAATACAATCCTACCTCAAGAAACAAGAAATATCTCAAATAAACAATCTAACCTTACACCTAAAGTGATTAGAGAAAGAAGAACAAAAAAACTCCAAAGTTAGCAGAAGGAAAGAAATCATAAAGTTCAGATCAGAAATAAATGAAAAAGAAATGAAGGAAACAGTAGCAAAGATCAAAAAAACTAAAAGCTGGTTCTTTGAGATGATAAACAAAATTGATGGAGCTTCCCTGGTGGCGCAGTGGTTGAGAGTCCGCCTGCCGATGCAGGGGACACGGGTTCGTGCCCCGGTCCGGGAAGATCCCACATGCCGCAGAGTGGCTGGGCCCGTGAGCCATGGCCGCTGAGCCTGCGTGTCCGGAGCCTGTGCTCCGCAACAGGAGAGGCCACAACAGTGAGAGGGCTGCGTACCGCAAAAAACAAAACAAAACAAAAAAAAACTACACTGAGGTATCACCTCACACGGTCAGAATGGCCATCATCAAAAAACCTACAAACAATAAATGCTGGAGAGGATGTGGAGAAAAGGGAACCCTCTTGAACTGTTGGTGGGAATGTAAACTGATACAGCCACTATGGAGAGCAGCATCGAGGTTCCTTAAAAAGCTAAGAATAGAACTACCATATGACCCAGCAATCCCACTACTGGGCATATACCCTGAGAAAACCATAATTCAAAATGAGTCATGTACCACAATATTCATTGCAGCACTATTTACAGTAGCCAGGACATGGAAGCAACCTAAGTGTCCAGCGACAGATGAATGGATAAAGATGTGGCACATATATACAATGGAATATTACTCAGCCATAAAAAGAGATGAAACTGAGTTATTTGTAGTGAGGTGGATGGACCTAGAGTCTGTCATACAGAGTGAAGTAAGTCAGAAAGAGAAAAACAAATACTGTATGCTCATACATATATATGGAATCTAAAAAAAAATAATAATGGTTCTGATGAACCTAGGGGCAGGACAGGAATAAAGATGCAGACATAGAGAATGGACTTGAAGACACGGGGAGGGGGAAGGGTAAGCTGGGACGAAGTGAGAGTAGCATTGACATGTATACACTACCAAATGTAAAATAGATAGCTAGTGGGAAGCAGCAGCATAGCACAGGGAGATCAGCTCAGTGCTTTGTGACCACCTAGAGAGCTGGGATAGGGAGGGTGGGAGGGAGACGCAAGAGGGAAGGGATATGGGGATATATGTATACATATAACTGATTCACTTTGTTATACAGCAGAAACTAACACAACATTGTAAAGCAATTATACTCCAATAAAGATGTTCGAAAAATAATGCAATAAATATAATATTTCACTTTCACATTTTTCAATAAAAATAATTGTAGTTTCTTCAAAAACTTTAGGGAGTTATTATTAATATTGTCAATATCATCCCCATTTTATAAAAAAGAAAACTCACGTGCAGAGATTTATCATAAGATCAGATAGCAAGTGATCCCCGGCTAGAAGGATAATACCCTTTCTGCAGCACAACTGCCTACTGGTTTTCTGTCTTTCTGTAGCACAAAGAGATACGATTCAATGTAAATGTATGTGTGACCTCGGCTAAGACATTTATTGTAATCAAGCCTCAGTTTTTTCATCTTAAAGTCCTACCTCATAGGAAAGTCGTGTTGAGGCTTAAAACGATTTAGTGTCTGCAAAAATGTTTACTTTGTAATTAATAAAGCACTGAACAAATTTATGAGCACTTTATAGTGGCAAAACCCGGTGCTTAATCATACCGTTTATAACAGAGTGATGATATTTTTCCCAACTAACGAATGCTAAATTTTGCAATACCTCGAAAAAACACAAGAGGGTGTTCATTATATTTTGATTTCAATGGCAAGTCATTTCACAAACATTTTGGGGCACTGACTATGTGAAAGTCTCTGAGATTGTCAGAATTTTTGAGGGGCTCAAGTAAACAATTCTGCACTTTATTCACTCTGATACGTTTTCTAAAGTCGCAGTTTCTAAGAGGTGTTTTGTTCAGGAAGCTGGACAAATAAAGGTGCCGACATTCCCAGTCTCAAAAAAGAGCTGTGCCTAAGCTTTTCCTTGAAAATATTACATGCATGGACAGTGAATAATCCTAAATGGGTATGAAATGGAGCAGGACCCTATGGTCCTTGCCCCACTTGTCCTCAGCCTGCCTTTTGTCTGTGGAAAACCTTTAGACAAAGAATAAGTTTAATCAGAGAAGTGAGAAAATGCAGAAGCAAAGAAAATCGGTCAAACAGGAGAAAACAATAGTAGTTTAGTCCGTAAGCAAAGTCAAGGACCTTTAGTTCCTTCTCAAAGACTACAGATGATATTCTGAGCCATATCCTGTGAGTGTCTTATAGATACTAAAACCCCCACCAGGTGGAAGAAGTTAACTACATGATGACCAGACTGTAGCCATGACATAAGCTGCCATGATTCCAAGAATTGGCCTCAAGAAAATGGGAACAAACCAGCCCTGGAACTGAGGATTCAGTGTACTTAAAACAATCAAGATGACACTGTTCAGACCACTGAAAACCCATTTCAAGATGACTGTCAGAGCTGATTGTGCTGTTTCTATATGTAGCCCCCTCCCTCAGCCTATAAAAACTCTTGCCCTTGATTGTCAGGGGTGTGTGGGGGCAAAGTCGGCCCTTTGGATAGTTCCCCCCTCCCCCTCCCCCTGCCCCGTTGTCGGCATCCAAAATAAAGCAAGCTTTCCTTTTCACTAACCTTGCCTCTTTAATGGCTTTTGAGCGGGGAGCAGCTGGACCCACTTTGGGTTACAGGTATAACATGCAGCCTATTAAGATCACACTCATCCTTAATCTGTATGGGAGGCAGACATGTTTAGAAGTCACATGTTTCAGCAAACGTGGCAATTCTGCCTTTACTATAGTCTGAAGGATCCCACTGGAATCTCTGAGGCTTTCAGAAGCATCTGATCACTATGTATGTATCCTCAGTCAACCAGAACCAGAAAAAGGCTACATGATTCCAGGGGACACGGAAACGATGGTTTGGATACATCAAGGTGAAAAGCTCTAGCCACCAGCAACAAATGGAAGAGAATGGAAAATTCAAGCCAAAAGATGTCACATTGTGTACATGTTACCTTAAGGGCTTTGATGCAGTTAAAAAACAAAAACTATAAGATATACTGTGCTGTTTGTTTTGCAAAAGACAATAACTATTCTTATTTTTAATTCTAATATGAGCAAAGAACTCTCTTATTCACGTTCATTAGTCAGCTCTTTAATCTTTACAGACTGTTGATTAAGAGTGCACTCTGGGCTTCCCTGGTGGCACAGTGGTTGAGAGTCTGCCTGCTGATGTGGCGGACGCGGGTTCGTGCCCCGGTCCGGGAGGATCCCACGTGTCGCGGAGCGGCTGGGCCCGTGAGCCATGGCCGCTGAGCCTGTGCGTCCGGAGCCTGTGCTCCGCAACGAGAGAGGCCACAGCAGTGAGAGGCCCGCGCACCGCAAAAAAAAAAAAAAAAAAAAGAGTGCACTCTATGGATCAGATCCATGCTGTGGGCAAGTTACTGCACCTCTTTGAGTTCCAGTTTCCTCATAATAGTATCCTCTATAGAATTTTTGGGAGGATTAAATAAAATAAAGCAAGGCTCATAGAACAGTTCTAGGCACATAGCATACAGCATTGCTCTTATTTATCCCTAGTGTATAACTTTTAGCAGAATACTTGGCACATAGTAAGATCCCACAGGGTCCTGCTCCATTACATCATCCACAACCATGATGTACATGGTGATGCTGGTGGTGGTGACAACAAGAACTAACATTTATTTAGCCGTTACCATGCATCAAATACCATTCTTAGTGATTTTTTTTTTTTTTTTTTTTTTTTGTGGTACGCGGGCCTCTCACTGTTGTGGCCTCTGCTCCGGACGCACAGGCTCAGCGGCCATGGTTCACGGGCCCAGCCGCTCCGCGGCATGTGGGATCTTCCCGGACCGGGGCACGAACCGGTGTCCCCTGCATCAGCAGGCGGACTCTCAACCACTGCGCCACCAGGGAAGCCCATTCTTAGTGATTTTATGTACATTAGCTTATTTAATCTTCCCCCAAACCCTGTGAGGTAGATATGGTTATCTCCATTTTAGAAGTGAAGAAATAGAGTACAAAGTGGCCAGAAATGCTTGTAGAGGGAATAAACAACCATGCTCTTTGATGCCTCCATGCCTCTTGCATTTATTGTTCCAATTGACACTTTCATCTGCCAAATTTGTATCTATTCTTCCAAATCCAACACAAAAACAAACTCTGGTGCAAAACTTTCCTAAATCTCCCAGAAGAAATAACTTACAATTATTAATTTACCTGTTTGCTTTTTCCTTGAATGTGTGTTCTTCAGAACAGGAATATATTTTATTCATTTTAAATTCTAGCTTTTTTCCTATTGTATAGCACAGGTAAGCAAATATAAAAAGTTTCAACTTTATGCCGGTTCCCAAAAGTACTTTGAGAATTCTATTGGTCTATAAAATGAAGCATTTTCAGGAAAAAATTTCTCCACTTTCGCCTCCTATTGAGAAAATTAGCTCTGTTTACAGTACGAACGAGGAAAAACTACATTTCCCATGATGCCCCTGACCCGGAAGGAAGTGAGACTAGACACCTCCCGTGATTGCTTATAGACCGGAAGCCGGTGTCTTAGTTCTCTTTCCCATCTTGCAAGGTAAGAATGGCGTCCCCTCTCTGCAAGACTCTATTTCAGGATCCCAATCCTTCGCCATCTTAACCAGGAGGGTATCAAGTCGACAACTGCAGGGGTCGGACACGCTCAGGGCCATTTGGGAGGCCTCCCAGACCCTTCATTTCTCTCGCTTGGGTTTACGGTGGGGCACGAAGAGGGTGCTGTGGGGCACGAACAGTGTGAGGTGGAATGCTGCAGAGGCTCCGGGGCTCCGGTTGCTCGCCACCCTCCCGGGCTGGGGAAACAGGGCCCCTCCAGGGATTCGTAGCGGGCCAGTGGGGCAGCAGGGACAAGGGCGGCGGCGCGCGCTCTGAATTCGGGACCTGCGTTCCAAAAGACGACGCCGAGCTCGTCTCCGCCACGTTGTGGATTTGAGACTGAGCACAAGTGCAACTTTTCCCGTCTACCGACGTCCGCGGCCGGAAGTCGCCTGCTGGGCTTCGCTTTTTTCAGTTTGGCCTGAGTTTGGGCCATTTGTGTGTGTGTGTCTTCGCCTCCTAAACGGAATTTCTTGAGTGAGACAGTCTGATAAGAGCAAAAGTCCTGAAAGCAAACGGTTTCAGGTTACAGCCTCGCTGCTTTCTGGCTGTGGAGATTGTTAAAGCTAAGTCTAGGATTTCTAATTCGTAAAACAAATAATGGAATAGGGACTTTTGACCTCTAAATATATGTAGCGAACAAATAATAGTTGTGAGATATATTCAAATCGTCAAGAAGGTTATACGGTATTGGGGAGACAACCTAAAAGTTAACCATTTATGGATATTGTTGCAGATGTGTGGCGATTTGGAGGAAGGCCTGTATCTTATAGTGGGAGGGGTGTAAAGGATGGAGAAGGAGGACAAGGACTTGCAGTCTGGGAGGCCTGTCGATGTATAGCTATGAGATAATTGGTGAAATGCCTTTTTAAAAAATATATGTATTGGTAGATGGCGGGTGAAAAGCCTGAGAAGCCAGATACTAAGGAGAAAAAACCTGAAGCCAAGAAGACTGATGCTGGTGGCAAGGTTAAAAAGGTGAAGCAGGTTAAGAAGGGGAAGCCCCACTGCAGCCGAAACCCTGTCCTGGTCAGAGGAATTGGCAGATATTCCCGATCGGCTATGTATTCCAGAAAGGCCTTGTACAAGAGGAAGTATTCAGCAGCTAAATCCAAGGTAAGGGATGAGGGGAAGCCCTGAGCATTATGTCTTAACATTAAAACGTTTGTCTGCCTCTGACTTTTTGACGCATTTGTGTCCTACTAGGTTGAAAAGAAAAAGAAGGTGAAAGTTCTTGCTACTGTCACAAAACCAGTTGGTGGTGACAAGAATGGTGGTACCCGGGTGGTTAAACTTCGCAAAATGGTAAGATTTGGAGGAGATTGTAATTTGGGTGTTTAGTTGAAGCTTGAATCCTGTGAGGGTTATTTATTTATTTATTTTTTGGCTGCATTCAGTCTTGGTTGCTGCGCTCAGGCTTTCTCTAGTTGCGGTGAGCGGGGGTGCTCTTCGTTGCGGTGCGTGGGCTTCTTATTGCGGTGGCTTCTCTTGGTGTGGAGCACGGGCTTCAGTAGTTGTGGCTCGTGAGCTGTAGAGCACAGGCTCAGTAGTTGTGGCGCACGGGCTTAGTTGCTCCGTGGCATGTGGGATCTTCCCCGGCCAGGTCTCAAACCCGTGTCCCCTGCATTAGCAGGCGATTGTTAACCCCTGTGCCACCAGGGAAGCCCTCCTGTGAGGATTTTTGTGTGTGTGCTCAGGTTTTAGAAGTGTATGTTTACCAGAGGATTATTAATGGAGGATAGTTCTGGGTTTGCAACTTCGCTTTATTATTTACTGTTCTTAAGTAGAGTTACTTTTCTGTGCTTTTGTTTCTTGTAAAATGGGAATAAAGTTTTGACTCACAGGGTTGTTGTGAGACTTACCATACGTAGAGCCTAGGGTGCGCCCAGACCTGTAGAACATTTGTCCACTGTAGTGGGTGTTTCTTGGCCCCTCTTTACCATGCACAAGACCCAGCGTTTTCTCTGAAAAATAAAGGTTTGCTCTGTGATTTCCATTATGGGACTATTGCAGATGTATTACACTCTTCACAGTTGAATATTACTGCACCAGAGGGAAAATGGCGCTTTGATTTCTTCTTGTCACAGGTTTTGTGAGCTGATTTTTCTATTAGGTATTAATGTTTGTGGTAAAAGAAAGACCGTCCACTAAAATGATGCAGTTAGAAATAGATTATTTTGAGTTACTTGTCATAAGCGAAAGAGTCTTTGTGTGGGGTCTTTTTAAAAAATTAATTTATTAATTTATTTATTTTTGGCTGCATTGGGTCTTTGTTGCTGTGCGCGGGCTTTCTCTAGTGGCAGAGAGAGGGGGCTACTCCTCGTTGCAGTGCAGGGGCTTCTCTGTGGAGCACAGGCTCGAGGCGCGGGGGCTTCAGTAGTTGTGGCTCGTAGGCTCAGTAGTTGCGGCTTGCGGGCCCTAGAGCGCAGACTCAATAGTTGGGGCGCTCGGGTTTAGTTGCTCCGCGGCATGTGGGATCTTCCCAGACCAGGGCTCGAACCCGTGTCTCCTGCATTGGCAGGCGGATTCTTAACTACTGTGCCACCAGGGAAGCCCTGTGTGGGGTCTTATTTTTACAATAAATGAACTGGCAGTCTTGATCTAAACTAATGTCTATGGTTTTATACAATTTATTCTTTATGGATAAGATGGAAGTGATGCATGTTAATGTGAAGCATATGAACACACTTAATTTGAGTTGGAAAACAAGCCATGCCTTTTTTCATAACATACAAAATTGTGTCAGGCGTGTGTTTCTGGAGAAGTAGGGACCCCAGAGGGTCAGGGACCCCAGAAAAACTTGAGAATCACTGCTACACAACAGTATATAATGATAGCTTGCCATGTAATCTCTAAAGTTTGGTTTATTCCAAATTTACAAAGGTAACTTGCTTGATGCTTTCCCTCTTTGCTTGGACACAGCTCCTTCAGTTAAATGGATTCCACCCTATGTTTTGCATGTAAAGCTATTGAAGCAGCGTTGATCTTTTCTACCTTTAAAATATTAGAAGTGAAAATGCAGTAGTGTGAATAAAGTGGTTCAAGTAACTACAGGATTGTAGTGAAGGTTTCACTGACCTCACAACCAGCTCTACTGACTTGATTAGATTATTTAAATAAGTTGGACCTATGGGCTCTCTCCAGCCTAGGTATTATCCTACTGAAGATGTGCCTCGAAAGCTGTTGAGTCACGGCAAAAAACCCTTCAGTAAGCATGTGAGAAAACTGCGTGCTAGCATCACTCCTGGAACCATTCTGATTATCCTCACTGGGCGCCACAGAGGCAAGGTGAGCAGAGCATGACACTTGAGGTACCTGGAGTACTTGATCCTAATAAGTTTGTTCTCTGGATAGGATTTGTTTACCTGTGTGAACTGCAGTTAGTAGCAAGAGGTTCTGTGGGAGAGGTGAGAGTGATCCATAACAAAACCAACAACCCAGTCACTATCATAACGTGTTTAGTCAATAATAGACAATAACTTATTACCAATTCCTGTCGTTGGTAATACTACTTGTTACAGGTGATTCAGATGTCCCTGTACCCAAAAATGTTTATGTATTTGAGTTAACTTCTTAGGATGGATTTGCAGGGATAGAATTACTGAGTTAAAGGGTACTAGTTTTTTTTTAATGTTAAAAGTAGTGGCTGCTCATTAAAAATCAAGCACACAAAAGTACTGCTCGTATCCTAGAGTCACCCCTGTTATTAGTTTGGTAAGTTACTTCCAGAACTGCTGCACATATGCATATGTAGAAATTTCCTTTTTTACCAAATTTAGGAACCTGTGATTTGATTAATTCAGAAGTCAGTTTCTAATTTGTGGAACCATCTAGCATTTCTTTTTAATCTACAGAGGGTCATTTTCCTGAAGCAGCTGAGCAGTGGCTTGCTACTTGTGACTGGTAAGAAGATCCTTGGATTTAATATACTCTGAAATTTGCAGGTCTCCCCACCTTCAGTTTTACTGAGAAATAATTTATATGCATCACTCTTGCGAGTTTAAGGTGTACAACATGATGGTTTGATTTACATACATTGTGAAATAATTACCACAATAGGTTCAATATCCATCTTCACATTTAGATAAAAGAAAAAACTTTTTTCCTTGTGATGAAAACTCTTGGGATTTACTCTTTTGAAGGTTGTATTTTTATTTAAAAAAAATTTTTTTTAGTATTTATTTTGGGTGTGCCTGGTCTTAGCTGTGGCATTGTGGGATCTTCATTGTGGCACGCGGGATCATTAGTTGTGGCATGCTGTGGGATCTAGTTCCCCGACCAGGGAACGAACCCAGACCTCCTGCATTGGAAGCGCAGAGTCTTACCCACTGGACCACCAGGGAAGTCCTGAAGCATGTGTTTTTAAATGCTTGAAGTATACACTTTGCTCCCACCTAAATAGAAGTTTCAGTGTCATGAGATTCTTTGCCCTATTTCATTGCCTTATGTACACAGGAGGTCTGAGGAAGCAGGTATTTAAAGTTTGCATGGCAACGTATCACCAGGTATAACTGCCACCTAAAATGCAGAATGGTTGGCTACTAACTCCTAGGAATGCATCCTTCATAAGACTTGTCTTCATAAGACTTGGTCTGCCCTTGGCACCAGGATGGAGTTCCTGGATAGGGGAAAAGTGAACTGTTTACTCCAAAAAACAGTGCTCAGTTTAAATTTGTCCTCAAGGACCAGTGATTTTTGACCAATCTGTATAAGTGACTATGCTCTCTCCTAATCTGGGTAACTTTAAAATTTGAGGATGGGGGGAGCCTTGGACAAACTGAGATCTTGAAAAAAGCCTGATGCTGACAGTAGAAAGCAGTTTGGAATTTCTTTGGATCCAGAGAAAAGTTAGAACTTCAACAGGTTTCTTCAAATCCAGTCAGTTCTTGAATCTTTGTATCCCCTTTCCCCTCACTATATTTTCCCCCCTTAGGGCCTCTGTCCCTCAATCGAGTTCCTCTGCGAAGAACACACCAGAAATTTGTCATTGCCACTTCCACCAAAATTGATATCAGTGGTGTGAAAATCCCAGAACATCTCACTGATGCTTACTTCAAGAAGAAGAAACTGCGTAAGCCCAGGCACCAGGAAGGTGAGATCTTCGACACAGAGAGAGAGGTAAGCTATTTCTTTCTTTGCCTCTAATAGCTCTGGCTCTCCTACTTGGGAGTGAAAATAAACAAGGTTAAGAATTGTTGGAAAAAGAAAAGCTGTAAGTAATGAGGACTATCTGGGAAATAATATTTTTCCAGATTCTGCTAATTATTTTATTTTTGGCTGCATTGGGTCATCGTTGCTGTGCATGGGCTTTTCTCTGGTTGTGCCGAGCGGGGGCTACTCTTTGTTGTGCGTGGGATTCTCATTGTGGTGGCTTCTCTTGTTGCGGAGCATGGGCTCTGGAGCGCAGGCTTAGTAGTTGTGGCACGTGGCCTTAGTTGCTCCACGGCATGTGGGATCTTCCCTGACCAGGGCTCAAATCCGTGTCCCCTGCATTGGCAGGTGGATTCTTAACCACTGCGCCACCAGGGAAGCCCAAGAGTTGCTATTATTATATTAAAAATAGGTTGTATTTCAGAGCCCTCCAAGGAAAGAATTATCAAAGTTGACTTCTAGGGACTTCCCTGGTGGCGCAGTGGTTAAGAATCCACCTGCCAATGCAAGGGACACGGATTCGAGCCCTGGTCCAGGAAGATCCCACATGCTGCGGAGCAGCTAAGCCCGTGTTCTGCAACAAGAGAAGCTACCACAATGAGAAGCCCGCGCACCACAACGAAGAGTAGCCCCCGCTCGCCACAACTAGAGAAGGCCTGTGTGCAGCAATGAAGACCTAACACAACCAAAAATAAAAATAATTAATTTTTAAAAATTGCCTTCTGAATATTCCTGGGATTGAGTACTTGTGATGTAGGATTTCTTAGTTAATGTGGAGTTTGGTACTTGTGCCCTTTTTTTTTAAATGATTTTTCTTTTTCTTTAGAAATACGAGATTACAGAGCAGCGGAAGGTTGATCAGAAAGCTGTGGACTCACAAATTCTGCGAAGAATCAAAGCTGTTCCTCAGCTCCAGGGCTACCTCCGCTCTGTGTTCGCTCTTACAAACGGAATTTATCCTCACAAAGTAGTGTTCTAAATTTCTTACAAAGAACCTAATTAAATAATTGGGTCCATTTCCTTTGTGTCTTTTTTCTTTTTTTAATCTGCCTGAAGGTGTGGTATGGCTCAGCCAATTTGATGGGATGTTAGCCTCTACTAAGAGGAGTGGGATTGGAGGGGAGTGCTATCAGCTGCAGTGGAATCCCCTCTTTGGATCAACATCCTTAGCTTCCTAAGTGTCTTCTCAGCTTTTTCACCCGGCACGTACCAATACAAAGTCGTGGCATTTCCACAGCCATCACTGAACAACAGGTCAGTACTAACGGTACATGGATAAGAAACAAGGCCACAAACTTTCCTCCCTTTCCATGACTTAACATCCATTTCTGCCCAATTCAGCCCCTCTCCATAGTCATTACTATTAGTTTCTTGTGTATCTAGTTTCTTAAAGCATACACAACAAATTAGTATAATTATTTACCTTGCCCTGTTTTTAACCAAAAACCCCATGTGCAGTACATGCTGTTATATAGATAACAAATGAATTTGATTATTCCATAGGAAGTGTCCATCTTTACTGCTGCATAGTGTAGTAGTGCATTCTATGGATATTTGGGTTTCCGTCATTTGTAATTATACTGGTTTCCCCTGCTATCCAAAAGTAGAGTATGCTTCTGAAACTTTGTGTAAGCCAAAATGGCATAAAGTGAAGAAATTACCTTATGACACATCTTGCTAACAGAGGCATAAAATGGGATAAAACACAGATGCTTACAGTTCAAAGTGACGGCTCTGGATGCTGAGATGTCAGAGTGTAGTTCCAGGGAAGGAGCTTGCCAGTGCCACTCCCACTGCCCAGACATGCTGCCGTCTCTAGTGGCTCTCTGTGAAACAAAACCGCTGTTTTCCCCCTTTGCCTTTTTTCATAAAAGTGAAAATCTTGATTTTTTTCTAGTTAACAAAGACAGGTACAAATGAAGTTCTTTCGGTTAAAGCAAACTTTCAGAAAGTGCTGGGTAACAGAGTGCGATGTAGTGAGTAACTTGCGGTGTGCATACAGATGAGCAAGCATCAGGTAAGAAGTAGCTTTTTGCTGAGTCAGGATTTAGGCAGTTTTGGTAGGTGGTGCCAAACTGCCCTCCATGGAGGTTGTACCAATTTATACTCATGTATAAGAGTGCCCGTTACCCTACCGGCTCCCTAAAATGATGTGTCATTAGACGTGGGTTTTTTAAGTTATTTTATTGATAATTTACATTTGGTAGAATTGATTTTTTGTGTGTGCAGTGCAGTGGCCTCTGCAGTTTGGGAAGCACCACCAAAGTTCCTTCCAAAAGTCAGTTTCCACTCCTAGTAACCACTGATAAAATTTTTGTTTTTCTAGTTTTGTCTTTTCCAGAACATCATGTAATATATTCTGTGGCATAATATCTGCGACATTTGTTCACATTAATGGTTCAGTAGTTCTTTTGTCAGTCAGCATTCTGTTGTATCATGGTGTCACTGTTTATTCTAAAATAATACCCATTGAAAGATATTTGGGTTGTTTATAATTATTGGAGATTATGAATAAAGCCACTATTAACATTCACATACAGGGTTTTGTGTGGACATATGTTTTCATTTCTCTTGGGTTAGAATACTTACAAGTAGGATTGGCTGGGTTGTGTAGTTTAACTTTGTAAGAAAGTTTCAAACCTATTTTGTATCCCACCAGCAATATGTAACAGTTGCAATTATTCCACTTCCTTCTCAGCACTGGCTATTTTCAGGTGGTTTTTTTTTTTCAATTGAGGTATAATTGACAAGTTAGTTTTAGGTGTACAGCATAATTTGTTATTTGTGTATATTTCAAAATGATCACAATAAGTCTAGTTGACACCCATCACCATACATAGTTATAAAATTTTTTTTCTTGTGATGAGAACTTTTAAGATCTATTCTTAATGACTTTTAAATATACAATATAGTGTTATTAACAATAGTGATCGTGCTGTACATGACATTCCCATGATTGTCTTTGTTAATTCTAACGGTTCCAGTAAGTTTGTACTGATAGGTATATAGTGATAAGTTCTGATGCATTTTTTGAAACAAACTCCAACATCACTTCTGACTAAAGCCCTTTAAGTGGCTCCTTATCACTCTAAGGTTTGGCTCCAAAATTATGGCCACGAGTCCTGATTGGCCCATTTCTCCAGTCGACTCATTTTTACTCTGCCCCTCAACATATTAAGTTTTAGTTTCTCAAATTGGGCTGTTTTGCCTGCTTCAGAGCTTTTGCACACCCTGTATGTTGAACTGCCCTTCCCACCATGTGACTGGCCCCTACTAAATAATAATGATAATTTGACTTGTCACGTAGGTTACCCAGGAGCAAGGAAACATTGCTCAGGCCAATGCAAGCGTCTGGTCCACTTGACAGATGTATTACGATAAAGAAAAGGTATTTGTGATTTATCAGTGTCTGTGAGCTTAGGGCTAGAGCTACCTTCAGGGTGTTGAAAAATAAGGTTTCTGTTCGTGCATATTCACACCAGTTCTTAGGTATATGCAAGGATGTTCATTGCAGCACCAAAGGTTCCATCAGTAGGGGATCAGTAGTTTACATCCATACGTTGGAGTATGATGTAGTGTTACAAAGAGTGAAGTAGCTGCATAAGAACTTGTGAAGGGACTTCTCTGGGGTCCAGCTGTTAAGACGCCGAGCTTCCACTGCAAGGGGCACAACAGGTTCGGTCCCTGGTCAAGAAACTAAGATCCCACAAGCTGTGTGGCGCGGCCCCCCCCTCAAAAAAAGAAAACGACAAGATTGATACCCACAAAATATAAATTGTTAAAAATTCAGATTGGTAAGAAAAAGACAAGTCTTGATAGACAAAAAGGCAATTCACAAAAGAAGACATATATATTACTAGTATTTACGGAAAAAGATCTAGTTTCCCTAGTAAAGAAATGTACATTTAAAATGAGATACTGATTTTACCTATTAAGATTAGCAAAATATATTTTAACACGTCATGTTGTTGAAGATTTGTTGAAATGAACATTCATGAACTGTTTGTGGAATACAGATGGGCAGAATATTCAAGACAGCAACTTTATAATATGTATCAAGACTCCTAGGAATCTTGAAGAAATCACAAATATACAAAAAAAAGTCATGTAAAGTACATAGTATCTCATTTTGATAAAAAAGATTATATATATGTGGTAGATTGTAAAAATGGCCACAAGAAATCTTTCTGTACATTAAGCAGTGGTTCTCAACTTTTTTTGGTCTCAGGAGCCCTTTACAGTCTTAAATTATTAAAGATATGAAAGAATTTTTTATTTATGTGGGTTATGTCTATTGATACCGTATCAAGACCAAATAATTATTAAAAGATTTGTTTTTAAAGACAACAAACCATTCCATGTTAATGCAATATTTTTGTGAAAAACATTTTCCAAAACAAAAATGAGAAGAATGGCATTGTTTTACATTTTTGCAAATTGCTTAATGTCTGGCTTAATAGAAGACAGCTGGCTTCTCATATGTGCTGCTATGTTCAATCTGTTGCATTATCACATATTATGTCCTGCAGCCTCTGGAAGCTATTCTATGCTCGTGAGAGAATGAAAGTGAAAAGACAATATCTTAGTAGCAGCATGATAAATGGATTTCACTTCATGGGTTCATTTTAAGACTCTCAGGGATGCTAAGGATTCCCAGATCATACTTAGAACCACTGCACTAGTCCCTTAGCAAGCAAGGTTCCAGAGGTGGAATCCAAATCTCTACCTTTGAGATGTCCTCCTTTCCAGTCCACCTGCTTCCTACAGCTCTGGCGCATCTGTGCAATGCTTGGGGCAGGACTGCTTGTTGCGGACAAGGCTGGGAACCTCGTGCCTGAGATCCTACTTCCTTAGCATCCAAATACCTCTTGTTTAGTTTTCCTGTTGCTGCTGTAACAAATTAACACGAACTCTATGGCTTAAAGCATCACAGATATATTCTCTTACAGTTCTGGAGGTCAGAAGTCCAAAATCAGTTTCAGTGGGCTAATGTCAAGCTGTTGGTAGTGAGTGGCCACCCATGCCCCTTGACTTGCGATCCCTTCCTCCTAGGTACACCAGTGCAAATGCTTCTGTCTTCACATCACCTTCTTCCTCTGATCCTAGATCTCTCTTATAAAGACCATTGTGATTACATCCCAACTGGATAATTCAGGGTATCTCCCTGTGAAGATGAGTTTCTCCACTCAAATACTTCTGACACCAAGATGTGTGGGTTTTCCACACCAAGCAATTCTCCAGTTCTCTGCAGATACCAACTGAATGTCCTACAATTCAGTTCCGATGCTACCTACCCGGAGTTAGCATGGACCCCACAAGTTAAGGGCTCAGTCGCACAAGACTGTCTCTCACATGATGCCAATCACAAGTACTGGGTCCCCAGGTTACCCACACTTCTGTCTGACTTGGCTACAAATGGAGGGTTCCCACGACTCCCTCCTCAGGTTTGATAATTGGCTATAATGGCTCACAGAACTCAGAGAAACACTTATATTCATTCACCAGTTTGCTATAAAGGATACAACTCAGGAACTGCCAAATGGAAGAGAGAAATAGGGCAAGGTAAGGGTGGTGCCTGGAGCACCATACCCTCTCTGGGTGCACCACCCTCTCAGCACCTCTTGATGTGTTCACCGACCAAGAAGCTCACAAGTATTTATGGAACTTAATCACCAGCACTACCACCCCTTCCCCACTTTTCCTTAAGTCTGGGTAGGGCTGAAATTTCCAACCTTCTAATCCCTTGGTCTTTCTGGTGGCCGGCTAGGGGTCCCTACCCTAAGTCACCTCATTAACATAAACTCAGGTGTGACCAAAAAGAGCTCCTGGGGCTTCCCTGGTGGTGCAGTGGTTAAGAATCCACCTGCCAGTGCAGGGGACACGGGTTCGAGCCCTGGTCTGGGAAGATCCCACATGCTGCAGAGCAACTATGCCCGTGCGTCACAACTACTGAGTCTGCGCTCTAGAGCCCGAGAGCCACAACTACTGAGTCCACGTGCCACAACTGCTGAAGCCCACG